GACGCGCTAAGATCTCTCTCATCATCGCAGACTGTTGTGCTATCTCAGCTTGGAATTCGCTAATGTTTGTCTCCGTGTGGCCTGTGCGCTCCCAAGTCTCATTCAATCGGAGTTGGATGCCATCCATCCGACCCATATACACACTCAGCCGCCCATTCATGGTATCCATCTCCCTCCTAATTGTTCGAGATTTCAAGTGAGCAGCTTGTGCCATGTTTTGAGTGGTACAGATGTCATGTCGGACCGTCTACATGTCGATCGTCAAAGCTCCCAAAGCATGCTGGAGACCCTACATGTCGAGGATGGTACCGTGAGAGTCACAAACATCTGACGCAAAACTATGTATCAACTCTCATTGGTGGTGGTGGTGGTGACTGGGGCATCTCAACATCATCGGGTCCTAGGCCCTGTGCAGTCTACTGTTGTCTCCATCGCTCTTTCTCTTGTTCCTCCCAATGTCTTATTCGAGCTCGCTCCTGAGCCTCAAATAAGGTACGCTTTATCAAAGGGTTGGGTTTTTCAGGTACCTCATCTGATAGGATAGTGATGCCCACAGCCCTGCATATGCCACTGATGAGGCTCAGGAAGATCAAAGTGGCAAGCCGATCCCTCCAGGTTCCCATAGTGTATATTTGATTGTAGATGAGAGTGGCAAGATCTATCTTGCACCCCCGAACCACATGATAAATGAACCCTACTGTTTGATCAGTAAATATAGTTTTATGTGATGTGGGCTCAATATTGTGGCACATGAAGAACCATAGAATAGCAATGGAAAGTGTGAGCTTAATCTGATGCCACTTAGTAGTTGCAAGGGACCATGCATTTTTCCGCCTCGGTAAAACCTCTGCCACTTCATTCCAGTTGAATTCAGTGGGGATGGGAATCACATTTTCCATATCTAGCTGATAGTAGTCATGGATAACATCCGAGGAAAACATAATCCACCTTCCCCGCATCTATATCTGATGTATATGCTCTGAACCTGGGGTGTCGATCTCATTGCTGAAATTCGCAAAGAACTCTCGGATTAGATTCTCATAGACTGGGCGTGGTCCCTCTACCAATTTGTGCCAACCACAAATTTGAGCCAGGTTCACCAATTCATAACCCTCGGGAAATCACCAAGTCGAACGGGTCTTTCAAGGTGCATTGTCTAATGGCGTATGATGTTCTCATATTGGGCTACGGTATCAGTGTTTAGGAACATCTGTAAACCTTCTTCGAGCTTTCTAGTTCTTACAGTTCCTAAAGATGAGCCGAATTTTCTTTCCCTTTTGAAGTTCTCTTAGGCGTATCCTGTAAAAGTGTGAAAAATAAAACTCGTTAGACTTCATGTTGAAAAACTAGGAATGGAATGAGAAGACAAAGCACGTAATTCACAAATCCCCCCAAACTTGATTCAAAATGCATGTACATGAAGTTGGCATGTAAAATGCTTGAACTATGTCTCAAAATAGGGTTATCATGTCAAAATAAGAATTTACCAACAAGACTTGGCTCAAAACATGCAAATTGTGCAATAGGACCGATGACCAACTAAGGATGTTCACGCATGGGTATCATCAAGAAAAATTGAATATTTCCCCAACAGCTCTGGGCATATGAAAATATTTACATTGCTGTAACACATATTCAAATTTCAAGTCATTCAGACCTCGTTTGGGTATTCAAATCAAGTGGCAAAGTAGGTGCCGTGATGTGACATGAAGTGGCATGACCTAAACAAATGGTGTCTCTGTGTTTTGGAATTGGGTTTACACGATTTCCAATTCACTTGTCATGGGAATTTACCACAAAATACACTCCAATTCAATTGAAACTCATGTCCACTGTAAGATTTGGCAAAATGCACGACTATCTTCACGTAGACATTTTATCAAACACATGACTTGCATTGTGTTAAACTCTACCAATTTGAATAAATTGAAGAATGAACTCCATCAATGATTTCCACAACTCAATCGCTACAAAGTCTTCCATTAACTATCCCATGCTCCTTCACTATCTTCAAAAATTGAAAATTGCACTTATTATTTATTCCAATAGAAAGAATCGAGAGGGATTGTGAAACATTACCTTGAGGTCTTGTAGAGGTTCACTTGATTTCACAATGGATGAGTGATGAATGGTGTTGCCATGAATGTTATATGCAAGATTGTGTGTGCAATTATGAGTTTGTGTCGTGAAATTTTGGGGAAGAACTTGCCCTAGAGTGCGAGAGTTGAAGGTGGGGAATTGTGAGGTGAAGAGTCAAGTTACGGGTTAAAAATTCGTAACTAACTCTACCATGCGGCCTGGACACCATGTCTATGCGACCGCATATACACTCATTTTATTTATTTATTTATATAGCACATTTCATTCTCCCCAAAAACATGACCTTCGACCAAACTTTTCCCACAAATTGGTTTTCAAATTATGAGTCGGCCAACCATCCACCAAACCCAAACTTTTCACAAATGCAATTTTTGAACCTTGTTGGAGGATTATAGGCTATAGACTTATTGGTAACAACCAATTTTGAATTTGAGAACATTCTTTTTGTTGAAATGCATGAAATTCATCCCCAATCATCCAAAACAACTTAATTCATACCTAACTCGTGCTCAATATATGGGGCTCGTGTGGAATGTGCTTGGACTCTTTTGACATGCACGGATGATCGATGACCTAAACTATGAAAATAATGCAAACACAAAATTGAAATTTTTCTAAGCTAATGCAAAAAGCAACATAAATCAAAAGGATATAGTGGGTTGCCTCTCGCCCAGCGCTAGTTTATAGTCGATAGCTCAACTTTCTTGTAATTGCTTCATTCCGGTGTCCCGAGTTGAACTGTGGACTTTTGCTTGAATAAGTCATTGCCCCAGTAGTGTTTCAACTTTTGCCCATTAACTGTGAAGGTAGCATTAGTTTCATGACTAACTTCTATAGCTCCATACGGCAAAACCTATGATAGTATAGGGACCCGACCACTTTGACCTTAATTTTTCCGAGAAGAGCTTGAGTCTAGAGTTGTACAATAGCACTCTCTACCCCACTTCAAACTTTAGCCTCTGAATATGCAAGTTATGCCACTTCTTGGTTCGTTCTTTATAGAGCTTTGAGTTTTCATATGCTTCCATCCTGAATTTATCTAACTCAATAAGTTGCAGTAAACTCTTTTCATCGACAGCCTTCAAATCCACATTCAACTGTTTCATGGTCCAGTATGCCCGGTGTTCTATCTGCAGTGGTAGGTGGCATGCTTTCCCAAAAACTATGCAATATGGAGACTTGCCTATCGGTGTCTTGAATGCTGTCCTATAAGCCCACAATACGTCATCCAGCTTTTTAGACCAGTTCTTTCGAGATGAATTCACTGTCACCTCAAGTATTCTCTTCAACTGCCGATTGGAAACTTCAACTTGCCCGCTAGTCTGTGGATGATATGGGATAGCTACACGGTGTTTAACGCCATATTTAGTCAACAACTGTTCAAACTGACGATTGCAGAAATGTTTACCCCATCACTAATTATCGTCTGCGGTGTGCCATATCTGGTGAAGATGTATTTTTTCAAAAACCCTATCACTGCCTTCACGTCGTTGGTTGGTAACACAACTGCTTCCACTTATTTAGACACATAGGCAATGACCACCAGGATATAGTGATTTAAAAACAATGGGGGAAAAGGTCCCATGAAGTCGATCCCCTAGACGTTAAATATCTCAACTTCCAAGATGTTGTTCAATGGCATTTCATTCATTTTTGAGATATTTCTAGTGCGTTGACATCTATCACATCTCTTGACAAACTCAAAGGCGTCCCTAAATAATGTAGGCCAGTAAAACCCAAACTGTAAAATCTTTGCAGCTGTCTTTGAAGCTCCAAAGTTTCCCGCATAAGCAGATGAGTGGCAATGCTCAAGATTCTCAGGTGTTTTTTCTTCAGGTATACACCTTCTTACAATCTGAACTGCCTCTTGCCTGTAGAGAATCTAATCTTCCCAAAAATAGTACTTTAGTTCTGCAAAGAACTTTTTTCTCTGGTGACTTGAATAATCAACCGGTGGAATGGACTTGGGCAAGTAATTAACAATATCTGCGTACCAAGGTGCTTCTTCTACACTAAGCATCTGCTCATTTGGGAAAATCTCATTGATATCCACTAATTCTTCTGTCTCCCAGGCTCCAATTGGGATAGGATCTGCTACGACATTTTCATTGTCCTTTTTGTCCTGAATTTCGATATCAAATTCTTGTAGCAGTAATACCAATGGATTAATCTTGGCTTAGCATCCTTCTTTGTCATCAGATATTTCAGTGTAGAGTGATCTGTATAGAGTATGACTTTAGATCCCACAAGATATGACCTGAATTTGTCAAATGCGTATACTACAGCCAAGAGCTCATTTTTACGTAGTTGATCTGGGCATCATTTAGGGTCCTGCTTACATAGTAGATCAAATGAAAAATTTTGTTTCTTTGCTCTCCCTATACTGCACCCATGGCATAGTCACTGGCGTCACACATTAGTTCAAAAGGCAGTTCCCAATCTGGTGCTATAATTACCGGTGCTAACGTGAGTTTCTCCATCAAAGTGTTGAAAGCGGTCAGGCATTCCTCATTAAATTCAAATGGAACGTCTTTCATCAGTTGGTTGCATAGTGGTTTAGTAATTTTTGAAAAATCCTTAATAAATCTCCTGTAAAACCCAGCTTGTCCCAAGAAATTGCAAACCCCTTTAATTGATGTTGATGACGGTAACTTCTCAATGACCTGAATTTTTGCTTTGTCCACCTTCCTTCCTTTCGTTGAGATTCGATGTCCTAGCACAATCCTTCCCGCACCATGAAGTGACATTTCTCCCAACTCAACACCAAATTTATTTCCCTGTATCTCAGTAAGACCAAATTTAAATGTTCCAAACACTCGTCAAACGAAGACCCAAAGACAGAGAAATCATCCATGAAGATCTCTATAAACTTCTCTACCATTTCTAAGAAAATTGCCATCACGCATCTCTAAAATGTGACAGGGGCGTTGCAAAGGTCGAAGGGCATCCTGCGATATGTGAAAATGCCAAAGGGGCAAGTTAATGTTGTTTTCTCTTGGTCATCTGGTGCCACTGGTATTTGATTGTAACCTGAATACCCATCGAGGAAGCAGTAATGTGAGTGGCCTGCAATTTTTCCAGCATCTGATCAATAAACGAAAGGAAAAAGTGATC